TGTTGGAAATGGATTCAGCCAACAGCACGCACGTGTTAACAACAGAAGAGTGCGAGGCAACGAAAATAATAAGTAACAAGATGATAGGATTGGTAGTTCGTTCTATGGAATGTACTTGAAAGTTAGAATTAGCAAGAAAGCTAAATCCCATACATTTGGCCAGGGGGTCAGTTAGCTAGCGCATGACCCAAAACGGACGGTAAATGTAGGCATTTCCACTATTTCCCGATGAGTGTCAGATCATACACATTAGCTGACGATATGATTTCCGGAAACGGTATTGCAAAGGACCCCACTTAACTTTCCATAGACTGTGGGTCAAGACATATATACGGGGTTTTATCTTGACATCCATTGGCAGGCCTTTGGAGACATTGTACCGACAACAACAATTACTTTCCATGATCTCTAACAATTACTCAAACTCGGTTATTTCTTTTAAAATTTGCCTTTTATATATTTTTTGGTTGACGCGCTCATTTCTGCCACTATCAGAAAGTGTGCGGTATGACTTTCGGCAGAAATCCAAACGATTTCTGTATGCTATTACACTTCTTCAGCTTACTGTCTGGAGCGCTGCCCCACCCGTAAAACTCCCATTGCCAGCATTAACGTATGACTTGATCCACAGTCTACGGACAGTGAAGTGGGGTCCTTCACCATACCGTTGCCCGACTGCCCATCATGCTGGGCAAAAAAATACAGGCTAGGAAAAACAATAGACTTCAGCGGCTCGTCCAAGTCTACGGCGCCTCCAAGAAAACCTGAGAAATACCGTTTTCGGGCATACCACGCTGTTTGACTGCAGTAACTTCAGTTCAGCTACACAAGAGGAACCCAACTCAGGGTTAATGTTAATAGGATGAAATCAGAAAACCCACTTAATCAATGAAGCTGCATTCTGTCTTACCGGAAGGGTCAAGAAGTCTCCGTTTTGGGATAACAGCAACCTGCGTCCTTTTTTTCTCAACGAAGGACGGGGTTATCAAGGGGTCTTGACCTGGGCTGGTACTATAAGTACAAAACTGGTTTGTTCACTTTTTCAGTCAAAACACTTTATGCGTGGCTGCTATCAAACACCTACCAGTCACTCCCCATTGTGGAGCGTCCCGTCATCGGCTCCTGCACTAGGCAGTCCTAGAGTACGCGACAATGTCTGGTTCCATCAGGACGGGCCGTTACACGTTAGGCCGTTGTCGTACACAGTTTCCTACACGGTGTCTTCAACAATCGACAGATTGTCCAGGGAGAGCTTGTTGGCTGACCGCTCGGAATTTTAGATTTACGAGGACAGACTCAAAACTGTGAGACAGTTGAAACGAACTTTCATTCGATGATGCAATCTGCTTGGTAAGAACACCTGACAGCACACTGCACTCACAATCTTCTTCGATGAGAGTGCTGGTTTGTAAGCGAAACCCTGGAATGCATTTCAAACAACCATAAAAGCAGTCTTCTGAGAAGCGCTTTGCAGCGTCACTTTCAGAATTTAGGGGGCGTGTGCTAGATATCACGCAGTATTTTAGCCAAGGCAGGAACTACGCGCAAATGTACTGATGCCAGAAGTAACTTGTAGGGAATTTTTATCACGCTGCAGGCGTCCTAGCGTGCGTCAGTTATGCACTGGATATCAAAACACAGGACTTCGTGTCTCACGATTTTGAGGCCGTCATAGTTCTTCAAAAAATGATGAAACCTTTATTATGCTGTTTATCGCTTTTTACGCTTCTACTAACTGTGTTCAGGCGAACGTCTAACTTTCTAATAATTACTCCTTCAAATAACTTGGTTGTCTCCGGCTTTCAAGTGTATTAGGCCTCGTCCTCAGTCCTGGTTACCTGCGTGCCGTTGTCCCACGCCTCGGCGGGCTAAACAACCACGGATCGATTGCATGACACTAAAGGTATGAGCTGCCCCTCATCGATTTATTCTGCGACGCTTAATGGACAGGCGTATGCTGAGCGAGCTAAAAGCGCACTCGGCCATGCCAACGCGCGCGTGTGTGAGTGTATGAACTCCGTTAGAAGTTTTGAACAAAAGCGACAAACGTTGCATAATATACAAAAATGGACCCATGGTGAACCATGCCAAATCATCGAAAATCAAGTGAACGCCGCACCTTTTTTCAGCTCTCGCTCTGCGTTCCATTAGTCTACTTCAAAGCAAGTTTAATAAGGGCTAAGAGGATAAATCAACTGGGCTAATATTGTCAGTCATTATATGCAAAAGGCTTAGCCTGGTTTGTGAAACTGTTTTCAGTTCCGGTAGCCTGGGGATAGGTCGTTGAAGGTACCCCCAGCGTGCTCTATCGGACCGAAGTCAGGAGATACAGCTGGCCATCGGAGGCGTCTGATACCATGAGACATTTTGAAAGCTTGTGGGTTGCAGCATCGATGAGCTAATCCGTTGTCCTTCTGGCTGATTTCTCAATGGTGGGAGCAGTCGTGTCCACAGTAACCCTGCACAACATAGACCATCATCGTTTTCATCACGAAAAAAAACAGAATACCCTTTCCTAGGCTCAAAATAGCTATCTCGACATGCATAGGACCTCATTCATCCCAGACAGTCCAGATGCTCATTCCGTCACAGAAGCATTCGCTCTTCAATCTGCAAACCCGCACTCGTCCATCAGCCCTTCTTAATGGCAACCGTGACTTATCAGTCTAGACAACCTTTTCCATGCGCCATCGCACGGCCTAATCTAAGCGGACTGGTTCGTGGTTTTCAGTTAGCCGCTTCACTTTAAGCAGTCGCCTTGCCTTCAAACAGTATTTTGCTGAAAACCCCTCTCGCCTGGCAGATAGGTGCCTGAAATCCACTTCCAAGTGGTAAGACGAAGAGAATGCCAACCAGTCATGGGCGCAAGCGTCTTAATGATCTCCAGAGGATCAACCATCCTGGCTTGTGTAGGTGCTGCGGTGCGTCCAGTCAGTCATCGTGAGTGCTGTGTACCCACTTGCCCCTAATGAGGAGGGCAGGTGTACTTTTAGGGTACAATCGACGATCCAGACGGATCCGCTTTTAGTGGCCAACCGCGTATTAGGGAGGCCCGAATGTGAAGTGGAGTTATACTGGTAGATGTGGGATCTCTGATACCGGGCTACTTTGACCTCCTTGCAGTCAGCCTGAATAATTGCAAATGTTTGACCACTGTCTTAGGATACGGTAGCTGCAGGCTCTGCGCGAGGTTCCTTCGAGTGCAGAGGATCGCGTTGGTTGCGATTGTATATAAATAATCCCTTTACCACTCAGTCAGAAAAGGGAGCTTAGTTCGATGATTATTTCAGCATAACTCGAGGCATCTAAGCACCAGATGACATCGACGGAGAAATAAATATAATTCTTCACGAGCTGAAGAGAGGAAGTTACTCAGAGCAACTTACTTTTTCAACACCCCTTTAGCAAAGGCAAGGAAAAGCCATAATGATTTAGCGGTATTCGCATTGTGTCTCCCTTTCAACCGGGATACCCTTGTCCGGAATCAGAGTCGTCTTGCCCGCCAACGAGAACACGAAGAACTGCATGGTTGAGACAGATCTGTTGACCGGTCCAGACGATCAACTCGCCTTCATAATCTCGCCAAAGGCCGTCCGCAGCTTGGTTATCTGCATGTACTCATGGGTCGCGAAACTTCAACTCCCAGACGAATGGAGTTCCTCTTGCGCTCACCGATTTCCAGACTTCTTCGTGCGTCCACAGCCTCACTTAGTGCGCCCTCGATCAATATTATCGTCTTCGAGGCAGCCAGAACACTTTGAAAAACACCTGATCCACCCGGATCGGTCGTATCACATGTAATCTAGGCGGTTACTGAGGCCGGAGCTGCCGCACATGTTCTCGTGACGTCATAGGGGTCGGAAGGTTTGGTGAAAAGCCCAACCACTTCACTTAGTGGTGATAACACAGGGCTTACTCGGACGGCCAAGCATCTTATTTCTGCTCTACTATAGTGTGAAACCGCAAAAACTAGACACACTGGAGTGCTCAGCCTAGGTCAAGGAAAGGGGCTCCCCGACAGTTGGCACACCGGACAAGCCGCAGTGAGTGACAAACGGTACGACAGGGGGCGCAGGATAGGTTGGGGTCCATGAAGTGGAAGACGGACAAAAATCGCTCAGAGCTGAAAATGATGAAAAGAAGCACGCAGTAATGAGGAACGTCAGAAAAAGCTGTCTGATGCCGATTTGCGTATCCCCCCTTTCCCCTTGAACTATGACTTAGGCCACTTGTACTATAGGAATGGTGCTAGTAGGGGTCTTTTGGAAGAGGAAGCATGGTGTTCTGAAATCAATGAAAGGAAAAAAGTGCGTTTTGTTGCATGTTTGCTCTAATTAATTTAAAAGGCAACTTTACAGAAAAGTAGTTCGGGAAGTGGTGTACCTATTTGTGGTCTCCTAAAGAGACAAAGAGATTTTGGTGGAGCACTGTTTCAAGTAACGCCAGTATTCCAGATGACTGCGCCAAATTCCAGGGGGGGGGGGTAAGAGTTAGGATCGGGGTTGGTGTTAGGGTTAGGAGGCTTGTGGTTAGAGGTTTGGTTATGATTATGGCGGTTAGTGTAAGGGTGAGGGCTAGGGTTAAATCTAGGGCCCAGGAATAGGCACCCCTGGAACTTGGCAGAAGATCACCTGTAGTGCAGAGGGTCAACTATACACGTCCCACCCCTGATTTCTCATATTTAACAGAAATGCCGAGGCACCGATATGTACAAAGTAGGGAGCTAGTATACATTTGTGTCATGACAACGCAGCCTACTACTTGCTTACGCCAAGCCGCACCATCTCAACCCCCACAAGGAATCGGGCCCCCTGCCAAAACAGTCCGCATGTATCAACCAGGACGACTTCTTTAGGTGACGCTGTTCACTAACCGAACAAGCTTGGTCGTCTGCTTTTGAGCTTTTTCCAACGTTTCTACCTCATGTGGAATGTGTGAGGACCACAGCGGCAAACTGTATTTGAGGTGTGACTGAACAAACGAAGGAATTGTTTGGTGCGATGTTGGACCGCCGCTTTCGAGAGCTACCAGCAGCTTGCAAGCACTTTTTCGATGATATTAGGGTGAGAATTCCTGGGTCGGCAACCGACTCAGTACGCGGAGCGCGTAGACGCATTTCAAAACCGAAACCTGGCCTATCTACCACAGACGGATTTCAGGACATTCTCTGCAAGATTCGGTCGGTCAGTCCTGACCAGAAGCATGTATTCTTGTTGTCCGCCAAGTGTTGGGGACTCCCGCTCTCTCATTTTCGACATGTGATCGATCCAGATTGTAAACAGCAGTGGCTCTAACGCAGACCCTTGTGGCACTCCGAAATGACCGGAAACTCAGGTGACACACCGTCTTGAACGTGCACGCCGGAGTTCCTATGATCCTGACGACTTCTGAGTCACTTGCATGCGTTTCAAGCTAGACCATAAATACAGTGCGTGACCGCGCTCATGAAATGTTGGTCGAAATTCTGGAATGCGTTTTCCATTAGGAAAGATTACCTAGGTGGGGTTATAATATTGATTAGTATACGACATAATCTTATAGTTTTTAGGACTCACCAGGATTTCAGCTATTGAATGCACCTCTTTTCGACCTCCTGCAGAAACCACACTCGTTAAAAAATGACTTCTTATTTTGCATGCATTTTTCCTATTGATTTTCAGCAGTCTTATAAATTCAAATATATTTTATAGAAAACGTGCCCAGAAATATGCTTTCTTTTGCTCATTTGGTAGGAAATCACATTGTCTTCATATTTTATTCCCGGAGAAGATGTAAAAAGTTTCCAATTATGAGATTTTTTAGGACTGTGCGATGTCCATGCATGCAAGATCGCACATGTCCGTCTAATTCTCCTCATGAAATGGACAACACAGTCCTGATCCATAGCATAATTTCATGAAGTCTATGTGGTATCCTCTTAGAGGCATAGAGGAATATATGATTTTCCATACGCAGAAAGCATGCACCTTGTAGACTGAAATTGCTAAACGCTGATGCAATGGCAGATCAGGCTGAAAATTAGTCGGGAATTGGGAAACTTTTTTAAAACCTATATATACACTTTCTTCGGGCATAAAATATGAAGACAATGTGATTTTCTACCGAAAAAAGTAAAAGAAAGCATATTTTGTGCATGCTTTCTATAAAATGCATTCCAATTTATAAGACAGCCGAAAATCAGTAGGAAAAATGCATGCTACTTAAGTAGTCATTTTTTGCAGAGTGTGGTTTCTGCAGGAGGACGAAAAGAAGTGCATTCAAAAGCCGACATCCTGGAAAGTCCGAAATGTTATAGGGTTATACTGCTTGATAATCAGTCTAACCACCCCACTTAAGTAATCGGAAACGTATTCCAGAATTTCGGCCAACATTTCATGAGATCGGTCACGCACTGTATAAGGCTTCTCACTAGGTAGTCTGTGGGTAACTAAGTCGAAGGTCCCACTGAGGTCTAAGCTTTCTACTAAAGAGTTGGACAACGAGAGGGTGTAGGACACCAACTAACTTGAGGTAGCCTGTGGACCGTGTCATACGTTGAATGGTGGTAGTGAGAGTTTTACGGGTGGGGCAACACACAGGACGGAGAGCAAGAAGACACAAAAATAGATTAATTTCTGCCGAAAGCCTTTTTCGTACGCTGTCACTTGGCAAAGAAAGTGAGTGTAATAATTAAAAAAAAGCAAAAAGAAGTTACTAAAAAATAACGGACTTTGAATAAGGCGCCGCTGGCAAGTCTACATTTAGTCAGGAAGGGAGCGGTGACTAATAGGTGATGTTTACATTCACACTGAATTCTGGGGTATATTTTTGGAGTTGCCGTCTACTTGGGGGTCCTACACCCTGTCGTTGCCAAGATTTCACGAGGTGTGACCGTGCTTTAAGGAAACCCCACTGGCTGTGGCTTACGAGTCCCCACCTGTCCAGAAACTAGCGCACACAGTTAGTAAGTCCTTCTACAGACTTTTGCACACGAGACCAGTGAGCCCAACTGGACTGTAGCCTTCAGTCAGTCACAGAGACCTTTCTTCGGGTAGAGGCCTAACTAGGGCTAGCTGCACCGAGGGCAGCGTACAGCGGACTGCGTGGAGGGGGGGGGGAAGGTAGCCAATTCTGGGACAAGTTTCTGGCGGAGTTTCTGGGTGTAACGAGTTCAGTTCCGGGGGCCTGTTCGTGTTTGTGTGTGTGATGGGGGTTTCTCAACTTCTGCCGACTCAACTACCAAATTTTCCATTTGGGATACCTGTTCTGCAGATGAGGGTGCACGTATGTGTTTAGTTATCTAGGTGGAAGACCTGACCAGGCGGGTTTCACGGAAGTGACTCTGATGCCAGACTATTTCCCTCTCAAAAAACGCATATTAACTGACAGTAACCTCGGCACATTTAGTATTGGTACCGAAGATTACAATATAAAGTGTTTTCGGCATCAGTGCCACAAGGAAAAGGTTGTGGTTAGTCCGACATGTTTTCCATCGCTTGTAGGCGGAATCAAGACAGATCATTCATGTCCAACTGTCAACGGTTGTTTGAAGGTGCAGGGGTATCTGGAGATCGCTGAAGCTAGCAAATTGCGGACGTTTCCGACGGCCTGATATTTCAGCCGGTTTTATTCGAGACTTGACGAGAACTGGTTGAGTCAAAAGTGGGCGAAACAATGTTTCGCAACTGTGCCGTGGCTGGACAAGATGAACGTGTTAGTGCATCAGCCTAGACTAGCGCCTCTTAATCTTGTGTAAATTACCGCACCGGAGCCTAAACTAACACTATACGGACTACTGCTCAGTCCCTACAACAGCGATATCTTAACTGGGATTATCCACTCAGCACTATCACGGATTCCAGAGTTTGATGAAAGCAGCTCCGGAGAGGATACGCACCGGGTCATGAAACGGTCGCTGATGTCCTGCGGAAGTCAGGGCAGTCGTCCCACGATGTCGTTCCGGATGGCGAAGGCAACGCCAGCATCGCATCGCTGTGCATGTGGACAGCCGCCCCAGAGGAAGGTATAGCCGGCACTTACCTCCTCCAGCCGACCGTGTTTAGAGAATATCGGGGTAAGATGTGGTTGTGCAACCGCACCTGATGAACACAATCCTATTGGGGTTAGAGGTTAGGGTTAGGGCAACTATTTCTCAACCACTCAAAGTGCAACCGCGCATTCCCAATAGCATTTCTTTTGCATACAACTACTTGACCTCATCGCCTGTGCGTTCCCCACCCCTACCTGTAAAAACTCCCATTTTACCACCGGTGTGTATTACAGGCTGCTGGGGTTTGTTTACTTCCGGTGGGGCTACATAACGACATCTGACCAGAATCGGGTCTGGTTGAGAGCAACGATGTCCACCATGCGAGACACTTCTACTCAGTTTGGATCCGAGCCGAGCAATTCATGCTTCTGTAAAACCCAGGTCAGGCGTGTGTGGCACGCGCGGACGGGGTGTTTAGCTATGCCAAACACCGCGTCTCCTGTCTTCATGACTCTGCCTTGACAGCGGCCTAGGTGGGTAAGGGAGGACTGGGTGTGATAGATGCAGAGCAAGCCTAGCATCACTATAAACTCATTCACACACACAAGTCATTTCCGTGCACCTGCTATGCTACGAGGCACATGATGGACATCTTCGTTCACGACTATTGAACTGTCAACATGAGCCATGTAGACTTCTCATGGCGGCCCAACGGAGACCTCCACAGTCAGTGAGACAAACTCGCTGCTTGGATTGAAACAACTTGGAGAGCTTGTGTGCGGAACAGTCTGTCTAATGATAACGATCCTTCCAACAGTCAGAGTTCTGCGAGACATAGTGCGTTTGTTGATAACTCCCAGCAAGACGGCTTGTCAGTCTGTTCCTAGGGGTTGATAATGTGTCGCATGAAGGCCTGAGGATGGACCGTGCTCTCTGGTCCAGACGAGAGATTAGTTTAGGGTGGAGACTCCTCCTCCTCCTCCTCCTCCTCCTCCTCCTCCTCCTCCTCATCCTCGCCCACTGCTCCAACGGCGGCCGCTCAGGCGACTGTCCCGCGCACAATAACCGACACTACCACCACCTCCCCCGACTCCAGGGATGAGGATCAGGACTATACCTGCCCTCACTGCGACCGTACCTTCACCTCACACATCGGCCTGGTCGGTCACTTGCAAATCCATCGCACAGTGACTGGCGAACCAGTGCGCGAAGCACCAACCTACACCCACCGCACTCGCCTCCACTGCTCACACTGCCCTCGCACCTTCAGGCATCGCATGGGTCTTTTCGGCCACATGCGCATCCACGAGAGCGGCCTTGACCGCACTCCCGACACACCCACCACATCCAACACATCCACCGTGCACACCCCCACCCTCGTTCCATCCGTCCGCGCCACCACCACCACCGCCTCCTCTGTAGCTGACACTGACGCCGCCGACTTCACCTGCCCACACTGTGCACGCACATTCACCTCTCGCATCGGCCTGGTCGGTCACTTGCGAATCCATCGCACAGAGACTGGCGAACCAGTGCCTGGAGCACCCACCTATACCCACCAAGCTCGTCTCAACTGCCCACACTGCCCTCGCACTTTCAGGCATCGCATGGGCCTATTCGGCCACATGCGCATCCACGACGACCTGCGGTAGACAACCGCCGGTTACACCACACATCCACACACTCCCTACCTCCTCCACCACCACCATCACCCCACCAGAAATCAACACTCACACACCTCATGCATCCAACTGCCACCTCCCACGCAAGTGGGAAGTCCGCATCTCGACTCGGTCCCCGTGCGGCTTCGGCTGCACGGGTGACTTGAGTCCGAGACTATCCCGACACGTCAAGCGTCGTGGATAGGAAGGTTGCTGATTGACGCCCGCTCTCGGTTTACCCAGTTCGTCGCGTTGTGTGTGTGTGTGTGTGTGT